ATTTCCAAATATTAAATTTTAAAAGTTCCAATTTCTAAATTTCAAATTTCTAAACATTTAATTTCCATATTTCCAAATATTACATTTCCGAATTTCCAAATATTAAATTTCCGAATTTCCAAATATTAAATTTCTAAATTTCCAAATTCCTAATTTTCCATATTAAAATTTCCAAATTTCCTCCACACAGTGGCAATAAAAAACAAAATTCCCCTGATCCCTTTATTACTAGCCACGAAGAGCATAACACAGAGGAAGCGCCAAGCGGACATCCGGAAGCTTGGTGACGGCAAATTGAATCAGGAATATAGATTCCTGTGCGATGTTGGCACGGCCGACAAAAGGAGGCAAATGAAAGACACCGAGGATGGGCTACGTACATCAGGATCAAGGTACGAAATTTGGCGGTAGTCCAGAATCTGCCCGGAATTCTCTCGTTCGACAAATTAACACACGTTCGACTACTTGTTGTTGCATACCATTGCTTCAACCTCGACAGTCACTTTTTTACGTAGAATCTTTATTTCTTCTTCTACTCTTTAACAGAGCACTTTGCGACGAGATATTAGCATAAGAATATTCATCACACGCGTGTGTAACATTTATCTAACGCAAGAAAGAGAGAAGATAGAAGAGTAAGAAGAGAAGAAGAAAATTTTTCTTGGAGCTCTACCAAAATATTCACACAAGTCAGAGCTTATTACTTCAACCTGTGCTTCTTGGAATACGGCCTGCTGCCCACGTGTGTTTCCGATTTGCGAAAACAATGCTATCCAGCCGCGAAATGACGAAATGTAAGCGCCGTTTCTTACACACCCACATGTGTTTCAGCAGTGGGTGGATGATGTCAGTGTTTGGGCCTGGTATCCTCGTTTAATCGTGTTCTCATGGTATTATAAAATGGGTCGTGATAAATAAAACTTCAACGACAAAGAGGAGAAAAAGAGTAGAATTTCGTACACTTCTAAAAATACACTTCCACGGAAAATGATGTTCCACTGATTCGATTAAAAAATTAATAGACGGTGAATATGAACAGAAATCCAATGGACTACTTTTTGAATCTTGAATAAGCTGAAATGTCGAGGAAATGTCGGAAATGAACACGGCTCAATTCCAACAGTGCAGCAAACCGTGAAAGCATCGAACTCTCGTTAAGAGAAACGATATAGCGTCTCCGAACTGGCGTTACAATCTCAAAAAACGAATCTTCATTTCCGAGTAAATCGACGAAAAATATCAACTCTAAAAAACGTTCGTGGAAGTGTAAACATACGCGTACCTCGCCTTTCCTCTAATTGCACTCTAATTCAAAGGACACCCTGTACAAACAATTCCCATTCCAAAGAAGAATTCCTCTCGGAGCCAATTCTACCCGTAAAAAAAAAGAAGAGAAAAGATACTATCAGCACCTAAATAGCGAGCTTTGGCAAGTAGATAAATCGACGAGAGAGCGAAGTGTATACCGGATCGGTACAAGATCGTTGGCGAACATCCAGAGCGCTGGAGAGAGATAGAAGAAAAGAAAGAAGAAGAAGAGAATAGTACAGCTTCTCACCTCGAAGTAGTCTTCAGGACCGCTGAACATTTCCCTGTCGACCTTGAGCTTGAGCAGGTGGCCAACAGGGACGACGACACGCGGAATGTCACGTAGCCTGTCGAGCTGGTACCTTTTCGGTTCTAGAGGACGTTTCTGATCGTGCCAGCTGACCCTGCGCGGCGGTTCCTCGCAGCTTATCACCGTTGCTGCTGTACTGCCGGTGTTCTCTTCGCCGACATCGTCGAACACGAGGTCGTCCTCCTGCAACGCGAGGCCCAGCACCGAGGGCAACAGCAGCAGGAAGCACGCGAGGACGTAAGGATTCTTCATCTTGCGGGGGAGCTCTCGTCGGTCGCTGCTATCATATCATGCTGATGTGCCTGGAACGAGATCAAGAGAGATCTGTTAGAGTGGATAGGGGAATTTTGTGGTGAGTGAAGTTTTCGTGTTTGGGAATTGATAACGATTAGAATTTTCGGTATTTGGGAATTCGTACTGCTTTGGAATTTCCAGCGCGAGAATTTATTATATCTGGGAATTCGGAGTGCTCGAATTTTTGATACTTTGGAATTCGGAGCGCTCAAAATTTGGATACTTTGGAATTCGGAGTGCTTGAATTTTAGATATCTGAGAATTCACAGCGCTCAAATTTTTGATACTTTGGAATCCGGAGCGCTCAAATTTTTGATACTTTGGAATTCGGAGCGCTCAAATTTTGGATACTTTGGACTTCGGAGTGCTTGAATTTTAGATATCTGAGAATTCACAGCGCTCAAATTTTTGATACTTTGGAATCCGGAGCGCTCAAATTTTTGATACTTTGGAATTTGGAGCGCTCAAATTTTGGATACTTTGGAATCCGGAGCGCTCAAATTTTGGATACTTTGGAATTCGGAGTGCTTGAATTTTAGATACCCGAGGCTTCACAGCGCTCAAATTTTCGATACTTTGGAATTCGGGGCGCTCAAATTTTGGATACTTTGGACTTCGGAGTGCTTGAATTTTAGATATCTGAGAATTCACAGCGCTCAAATTTTCGATACTTTGGAATTCGGGGCGCTCAAATTTTGGATACTTTGGAATTCGCAGTGCTCGAATCTTAGATACCCGAGAATTCACAGTGCTTGAATTTTAAATATCTAAAAATTGATAACACTGGGATTTTCAATGTTATGAAATCTGCAAAGTGTGAATGTTTAATTTCTCTCACAATTTTCAGTGCAATCTTTCAAAATTTCTGCCGAAATTCGAAACAGAAATTAATGAAATTTTTCCAAGGATTACCGCACAAATTCGGAGGAATTCGAAACAATTCTTTCTGTCAACTACACCCAACTAATCTCTAATAAGCCAATTCTGTAAGATCACCACTTAACCCCCCTATATACTCTGTCAACGCACGGTGCTTTTATTGGTTCACGAGCGAGCACCTGAAAGGCTTAACTTAAAACTGATAAAGCAACGAAACCACAAGGAACGTTCAATGAACACTCCTCCCTCTCACTCAAAGCTGTGTGTAAAAATAGTAATGATAACAGCGGTCTGCTATGGTGCACAGGATCACGTACGAACGTTATGACAATACGTTCCATGTTTGATTGCTCATTAAATACTGTCACGCGTTGTTAGATCATACCCGAGACATATTTCTGCTCGTCACGCACCACTTCCTATCACAATCAATCTCTCATAAACGCGCTACTTAACCAACAGAAAATTGAACAATAAACAATTAAACCGTTCAGTCATTTTCTGTTCATTAATTCTCACAAAATTCTATAAATTTTCAAGGAAGTTACACGTATCCCCGAAAAAATGATCAATAAACGATTGAACCACCGAATCATTCCCTTTCATTAATTCTCACAAAATTCAGTAAATTTTCACCAAGTTTCCAAAAAACAAAATATATATGTATCTTTTATCAAATAACCGTAAATCATAATTTTGAAATTACCCTAAGTATATTAATTGTGAGTCTCCCTCTAAATTCCAAATTAAAGAAACTTTGAATGAAAATCTCAGTACACATTCTCCTTCCTAAGGGACTCAATGTTCTACGATAAAATCTAATTCCCCATTCATCCCAAATCATCCTAACTCCACAAATTCTAAAAAATTGTCAAACAACCCTAACTCACAATTTCTAAATTACCCCAAGTATACCGAGTGTCATTCAAAATTCAAAACGAAACTCTCAGCGATCTCCATCTTAAAGCACTCCATATTTCACAACAAACTCAAATTCCCCATTCACCCCAAATCATCCTAACTCCACAAATTCAGAAATACCATCAAACAATCCTAACTCACAATTTTTAAATTACCCCAAATTCCAATTTGAACAAACTTCGAATAGAACTCTCACAAACCTCCTTCCCAAGACACTCAACATTCCACAAACTCAAATTCCCCATCCACCCCAAACCGTCATCTCCAACACCCGCCCAAATCCCCCAGTCCCAACAATAAAACCCCCTGACAAAAAAAATATCTCCATTCCTACATTTTAATCGTCGCACGAATCGATGGAAATAAACCTCGACCAGAAATTCATCGACTCGAAGCTCGCGTTTCTCAGCTCGTAAGTCACCCTTGGTGGCCTCCCTCCCTTCCCATTTCGACCAGTTCCGTTCGCCGTCTATTTCCACGGTGCCGGTGGTATTTACCAGTGGAACAATGGAACGTTTTCGCGAGCGGTACCGAATGCATCCAGTAGTCGTGGCCCAATGATAGCCAATAAAGGCTTTCGTCGCATTTTTATTTCGCCTTATTGCCCCGGCTCCGTCGAGGACCTCGCCATTAATTGCCCCTAGCTGGACAATGAGGACCTCCACAGTGTAAGTTCGACGTTGCTCGGCGCTTTCATGGGGAAATAAACTGGCTCCTCCGGGATCACCGTGATCCTTTTCATTACAGCAAATTCTGAGACGCCGTCGAGCCTTCTGTGTTACGGCCGATTTATTGATTGGTATAGTCGATCGAAGGAAAGCTGTTTTCTTCGTCCTCCCCCATTTTTTTTTCTTTTCTTCGTTCCATCCTTTTCTTTTACGCACTGTTAAATTGACTTTTGGCACTTTTGATCGGTGATTGGATAATGGAAATAAAATTGACGCGAATAATTTTTTATCGTGTTGACATCCTTTTGTTAACAATTCCGTGATGAAATTGACGTGAATAATCTTTCACGATGTTTGACATCCCTTTCTTTGTAGCATAGAATTTTTTTTATTGATAATTTGAGGATAACTTTGTGGAGAATAATTTTGCACGATGCACAGTATTCTATTTTACAATGCAAATTTTTTTTTAACGATAATTCCACGATAAAATTGACCGTGAATAATTTTTCACGATGTTTGACATCCCTTTCTTTGTAGCATAGAATTTTTTTTATTGATAATTTGAGGATAACTTTGTGGAGAATAATTTTGCACGATGCACAGTATTCTATTTTACAATGCAAATTTTTTTTTAACGATAATTCAATGATAAAATTGACGTGAATAATTTTTCCCGACTCACAGCATCCTCGTTTATAACGCGGAATTTCTTTTATCGATAATTCGACGACAAAGTTGACGGTGAATAATTTTTCTCAGAATACGACATTGTCACTCTTGTAATCTGGTTTTAATTGTTCTATTTCTCGGAATATAATCGTACCTTCGTGATAATACACTTGGCGAACTTCTACATTTTCATCCGTTCTCGACAGAGTAGTATCGCGATTGTTACAGTTAATTTACGGCGAAAAGGACGCGTAAATCTCCTCGGCGGAAAGTCCGTCATTCATAAAGGGGGTTTTACGATAAAACGTTATTTTAATACATCCGCGAGTCAAACGTGATCCACGTCGCACACAGGACTGCGACACACGTTGCACTTTGTCACCACGATACCGTGACCCATTTCCGATCCACCTCTGACCCTCGTCACTTTATAGTAAAACGCGATAGCACGATTCGCGACAGTACCTAACAATGCACAGCATTGTCGCACAGCCGTGACCTGCTAGCCTTTCAGATAAAACTCTCCGTTGTGATCCGTTGCATCTTTCTCCCCAAGTCGCCAAACAATCGCTGACCCATGTCGGATTTAACAAACGTTATAAATCAAAGACCGCTAATTACCGATTAACCAACAGATTCGTGACAAATTGATGTGTGAACTGTAAAACATCGCTTTTCGAGTGGAATTTCATTCGATTTCGACGAAATTCCGTTCGTTGACGTTACGGTTCGCGTAGGTGGATTCTGGGTGGGTTTAATTGAAGAATTTTCTGTTTGGGAGTTTCAATTTTTCTGGGGGATTCGTTTGGAATTTTGTCGATGGATTTCGGGGATTTGGTAATTATTGAAATGTGCGTGGAATTAACTTTGCTCGACGAAATTCTGTTTATTGGTATTAAAATTGCCTGGAATTCTAAGGAATTTTAATTGAAACAAATCCTTGACTTTTCAAGTGAACAGCTAACTTTAACGAATGAAATTCCGCTCAGTGGGAATTAGATTGCCCCGAATTCCAGGGAATTTTAATTGAAAAATTTCTAAGTCGTGAGTTTCAATTTCTCCGCGGATCCATTAGAAATTTTAACCATTTGTTTTTCAGATATTTCTGATCTCTGAATTGTGAAACTTTGTTCTGCGTGCAATTAACTTTACTCAATGAAATTCCATTCCCAAAAATTACCAAATCACGAGTTTCAATTTCTCCGCGAATCCATTACAAATTCTAAACACTCATTTCCGAAAAATTCTTCATCTCTCAAACACGAAACTTTATTCTGCGTGCAATAAACTCTACTCGCCGAAATTCCACGCTCTAAAATTATAATTGCCCCGAATTCGATGCAATGTTAATTGAAAAATTACCAAATCACGAGTTTCAATTTTTCCATGAATCCATTACAAATTCTAAACACTCATTTCCGAAAAATTCTTCATCTCTCAAACACGAAACTTTGTTCTGCGTGCAATAAACTCTACTCGCCGAAATTCCACGCTCTAAAATTATAATTGCCCCGAATTCGATGCAATCTCAATTGAAAAATCACTAAATCACGAGTTTCAATTTTTCCACGAATCCATTACAAATTCTAAACACTCATTTCCGAAAAATTCTTCATCTCTCAAACACGAAACTTTATTCTGCGTGCAATAAACTCTACTCGCCGAAATTCCACGCTCTAAAATTATAATTGCCCCGAATTCGATGCAATCTCAATTGAAAAATTACCAAATCACGAGTTTCAATTTTTCCACGAATCCATTACAAATTCTGAACACTCATTTCCGAAAAATTCTTCGTCTCTCAAACACGAAACTTTGTTCTGCGTGCAATAAACTCTACTCGCCGAAATTCCACGCTCTGAAATTAT